GCTAATTATAATTAGTATAAAAGAGACAAAATATGGGGAAAGAATTTACATAAAGCGCATGTAGTAATTTATTATAAAGACCGTTGCAAGGACCGGTCCCGAACCGGTCCTTGCAACGGTTCTCGGTCCCTATCGGTCCCAGTCCGGGACCGGTCCGGGATCGGTCTTTTGCGGGACCGATGCAACCCTAACAAAGTTGCTGAAAAAAGCTCTTCATCTCGCAAGCGTACTCATGATGAAGATATTTCAGTTGATCCAACTATCCAAGAAGATGATAGCATGTCAGAGTCATCTATACTCCATCCTCATTAAGAAACTATTGTTAAATGGCTTGTGCCATCTTTATTTCAGGCACAGTCTGAAAAACTCCATCAAAAACTTCTAAAAGCCATAATTTATAGAAATAATTCTTTTTACCTTGTTGAGAATCCATATTTTCAAGACTTTCTTAATGAGTTAAATCCTTCTTACCACCTTCCTTTTCGAAATATGGCCAAGAGGCATCTTTTAACCAAGATGTTTTCTGACTATACTCTAGAAAAATTAAATACTCTTCCTACTCTTACAAATCTTACAATTTCTCTTGACAGATAAACAGATAATTCAGGAAATTCGATCTATAGATTCATGGTTCTTAAAGAATGTCAGGAGTTTGTGTTGGATATTTAGGATTTATCTGCATACCACCACATTGCAGAATTTCTTCAAAATAAGGTGATAGAAGTTTTGTCTACAAATGGTATCTAAATATCGTCTATTATTGCCTGTGTCACTAATAACCACTTGAATATGAACAAGATAAGAAGACTAATTTATGTAAATATAAGCAACGCCAAGAGGAAAAAGTATTTCAATAATATAAATATTATATGATTGGAGTGCCTTCCCCTTGGCATTACTCAAATGTATTAAAAGTATTAAAGCTATTATGGCTTATGTCACAACTAGTCACAACAAAAGCCATATAATTTTTGATTATAAATCTATTATAATGTATAAAATTTATATATATTACAAAATTTAGGAAAAACACCCTAACGTTATCCCTATTCGTTGCTATTTGCATGTCTTTAACTTGATTGTTAAAGATATTGCTAGCTTCACTAGTATCGTTCCAGTATGTAAAAACAATCAAAAACTGGTTAATTTTTTTATATCATCACATATCTGAAGTAAAGAATTGCTAAATTGGCAAAGAAATCACAATATCAACTATTACTTATCTATATTTTGTAAGACGAGGTGGTATTCGCTTGCTAAAGTTTGTTTAGGGGTATCAACCTATGAACAAGGTTTCCAGCACTATCTTTCACTAAGTGAGACTTCAAATCTTAAATATCCTAAAATCAAGAGTACTACTGTTAAAAATCTTATTCGTGATAAATATTACTTTGCTACAAATAATGTACTAGCAAAAGTAATCAAGCCAGTTGTTGATGCAATTGGTAGATTAGAATTAAATGATTCTACTCTCGCTGATGTTTTCAAAAAGCTCATTTATATCCACTAGCAAATATCTCAACTTGAGGTTTCTCTTGCTAATTTTAAAACCCATACCTCTCTATCATAAGCAAACGTGCAAGAGAGTTTGATTATAATATTTATTTTGTTGTGCTCTTCCTCTCACCAGCCTACAAACAGTTGGCTATATCTAAAAAAATGAATGAAGAAACAATTAGCCGTGCCATACTTGAATTAGCTAGAGTGTGGGGCTTCAATAAAAGAGATGCGGATCTCTTATACAAAGAATTAATAGATTATAAAAATAATGATCCTCCATTGATAATTTACCTCCGGGTTTCTCACAATCTCTACGATCTTTCTGGGCCAAATTTAGAGGGTGTGCACCTCTTTTACATCAGTTTGCAATGAAACTTCTTGCCATCGTCTCTCATAGTGCTAGTTGTGAACGACTCTTCTCAATGCTTGGCTTGGTTAAAACAAAAATAAGAAATAAATTAATGCCTGAAAATCTTTCTATAATTGGTTAACTTAGAAACGAACTCCAAAAAACTGTACCTAAAGTTAAAAATAAAATTAAAAAATCTATACCTGATCCTTCACCCTATAATGATAGAAGCATTGATATTTTCTTTAATGAAGATAATCAAATTGAAAAATTAAATAAGCTAGAAGAATTGGATGAAGAGCTAGAAGTTATAATGGAGCAAAACAACTTATCTATTATAAATAAATTTTTTGATTTCACAGCACTTGAGAGAGATCAGAAAGTTCTTGAGCAAGATTCACTTCAGATTAACTCGGAACTAAATGATAGTGCTAGAAATGAATGGTCTGTTGACGACATTATTTTTTAAAACTAAAAAATAAATAAAATTTGTAATTTTTAAATATATATAACTTTTAAATTAAAAAAAAAATAAAATTATAAATTGTTAACAATCTGATAAAACAAGTCACACTAAATAATAAAATTTCTTTAAGTTTCATTAACTGTACGTATGTAAATTCATTATCTACAAATAGGGTTTAAATATGGCACGAATATTAAAGTAATAAAACATGTTATTATGATAGTATTAAGGCCGAGTAAGAACTATGTGATGCTAGAATTTTGCAAGGATTTTTTTACTAGAACCAATAGTTTGTTTGAATTGTGCAATCCATTTTGCCCAATAATTATGATATTTATATGATCTAATCAGAACGGTAATTAAAAATTCCACAAATGGTTATTTAAACTTTAAAAAAATTCTATTCTTTGTTTGACTTGCTTTATTTATCAATTGCATTTTGTATTAGCCAATGAAATTTTGTCAATTAGGTGATAATTTATATACAAGGGGCATGTCCTAAAATTTTACTGTACCTTCTACCCTACCGATCACACTTATTGAACATTTACAAAAAATCTTTACAAAGATACTAACCAATCATCTAAATAAACTACTAACATAATACTAAGCTCTCTCACTAGCAAACAACATAGCCCTACTACTCATCTTTACACTCAACAACTTATTCAAATTCAAGAAGATTTAGTACTAAATCAGAAAAAACTTTGGATCTTATCACAAGACATATCAAAAGCATATGATACTGTGTACCTCCTACTACTACACCTAGCTTTCGAAAGAATTAATCTACTAAATAAGATTATTAATACAATAATCAATTTGTTTTCTAACTGACAAAACCAAGTTCTAACAACAATTGGCAAAACAAACCTTTATCATATCAAAGATGGGATCAACCAAAAAGAAGTGATCTTTTTACTACTGTGACATATATACTATAATCTATTAATTTACAGAATAGTAACAGAAATTCCAGGCTATATTATATCAACAACTATATCTAATGGATTAACTTACTACTTACAAACTACTATTATTGCCTATATAGATGATACTACTTGAATTACCTCCAACTGTCTACAACTCTAAACATAGCCCTATTATTTTACAAATTTACAAGCATTACTATAAATCTAACAAAATCTGTTCTAATATACAACAACTCTGAAGATACTGCCCCAATAACATTTCACAATATACAAATATACAATATAAACCCCAACAAATACTCAGATTTTTTAAAACTTACTTTACTATAAATACACACAAAAAACTCATAATTAAAACAATTACCCAAGAAATAAACAAAGATCTAAAAAAACTAACTTTATACAAAATTACAGACAAGCAAGCAATTTACATTATAAATACAGTACTGCTTACCTGACTAAGATACTAAATCCAAAACATCAATATTCTTCTATCAACATATAGAATACTTCAAAGAAGCTACACAGTTGTAATTAAACAAAAGGCTAATCTTGCAAAAGCAGTCTCAAACTCAACACTATTTTACTCAAACATATGTGCTTTACAAAATATTATCGACCTTCAGCAACAATTACAAATGCAAATCTTGAATACTATTTTTCACACACCTGGCCTACATTTTGATACGACTTGCATATATTTACAAAATCTTCAAAACACAACTTTGTCTAATATATCAATACTACATATACTACCAATATTCCTAGCAGCAATGATAAGAATCTTCTCTGCATATATGATATTAACCTTTTATATACTAGATCTCAGTTTAAACTAACCCGACACTTGGCTAATATCAATAAGAAATTAAAGAACACCTATCAATATTATACTAAAATATACACCCACCCACATCAAGTCAAAACATCACTAAACAAGCATAAAATTATTGCTATTGAACAATTTCTTAACTATCAAAACAACCAAGTTCTCTCTTGAACACAATTTCACTACAATATTAATAAAATCCCATCTAGAAGAACTCCTAACTAGTTCACACAAATAACAAACACTATCATGGATATGCAAGCCTCTACGACTGAACTAATCACACCAAACCTATTTACATAACAACAAACAACAACAAAAAAGAACAAATAGATTAACACAGAAGACAAACTGTTTGGCAGAATATCTACCTATAATAATAGCATACTCTGGATAAAACACTAAATCCTCGATTAAACAACTCTACAACTATCACTCTGCCTAAGATAACAAAATAATAGCAGAAAAAATTCATAGTCAGGTGATTGCCAGACGTTTTTGACCTACAGAAGATACTCGTGATCGGAAGGAAAGATAAAAAAATAATCTATAACAGTTTTTGTGTTATATTCTATTTTGGCGCTAAGTTCTCGAAACTAATTAACTAGCTCATACTAAGGAGTTTACTTTAATAGAAGCTTGGAATAAGAAGAGCCACAAAGATAAATTTTAGCTTTATTACAAGAGTCTAGAGTAAGACTTTACATGAACTCTAATTTCTAACACTCAAATTTCTAACATAGAGCGAATCTCTAAAGCACAAATATTTATTTATATATTAACTCATTTTGATATTAACTTAGATTCATTAATAATTAATCTATTGCAACCAAAAAGCCAATTTGCCTTTTTTTAGTGGTTAAAAGTTTGTTGCTATGTTCTGGCTCTAAGGGCTTCATTATATTCAGTAATCTCGTCAATAAGAGGCTTCTTAAAAGTTTTATATGCTTCATAAAGTCTATCATTTTCAATATTATTATTCATAATATTTACTAATATTTCAAATGCTTTTATATCTGAAACAAGCTCCATTTTTCTGTTTTCGATTGTTATATGGCATTCAAAAACTATTATACTTGGGCTATGACTGCTTGTTACCTCCGGTTCAGGTTTAGGCTATGATTCTACAGTATCATTATATTAAATATTACTTCAAGAATTATTACCTAAGTTAACCCTTGAAAAGTTTATTCCAAAAGAAATAAGTGGATAATCATGATGATGCATAGTTGCAAGAAATTGTGGAAAAAAAGACGGATATTCAGCAGAATATTTTTTTGCCAAATGTTTATATATGAAATTAGGACTATGCAAGAAGGTGGAGCAAGAACAAATCCAAACATTTACATCAGTATAGTAACATTCTACCATGCTTATAAAAAGAAGAAAAATAAAACAATAATGGATAAAAGTATTAAGAAATAAAAATAGTGAAAAAGATTCTTAAAAAAAAAAACCTTATATCTTTTTCAATAGCAGATTTCCAATTGTGCTTGAACACTTTCTAATATAATGGAAATTCATAATTATAATGAAATTTTCTCCAAGTATCTTTTATATCTAATATGAGTTCATTAACAAGAATTTTTGTTAAACAATCTAAACGCAGCCGGTTTGAATTGTACTTGTAATTGTATTTTAGAACATGCCAATACAACTCAGTTATCATGGTGGTCCACACAATAGGTATTGCTTGTGGATAAGCTGCTCGTGCAAATAAATACCAATTTGTCTGGTTATACCAATTTATTCACAAGTATCTCCACAAATAACTTAGGTCTTTTTGATGGCAAAACTGGTAGATTTCAAAAACACTTTAATGTTGAATTTCACCTGCTATAAGAAAAAGATTTTTATCCACAGGTATAAGTAAATATAATAAAGCATGTTTTTTGATTATTCCTATTAGTTCTTTTCTAAATTCTTTAGAACACACATTATTTGGTTGTTCTTTAGAAAACAAAGTTGGATCAATAAAAGAAAACTGGACATGTGCCTCATATGTCTTTTGTGCCGAATACTGGCTTCCTTGGGTTTTTTTTTTTTTTTAGTTTATGCTCAACTGCCCGTTTCATATGCCAAAAATATAAGTGTATTACCACATGAGGCCAAGCTTCTTGAACAGCATTGATTTCTCCAGGATCTTTATCCAGAAGAATAAAAACTGGCAGAATTTCTTCATTATGCAAGCTAGTAAAAAATTCTTTAAGTACACCAACTCGGTTGTATACTTCATTACCGGGATTTAAAAGTAGATTTTCTGATGCCGAAAATGTGTCTAGATATAAATATGCGAGAGAAAGGCCATATCCACTACAATTAGCATTTACCTAATTGTAAAACTATAAGTTACTAATTACTATAAAATTACTATAATTATTTTTACAGATGTATTATTTAAACTACTACAATTCTATATTTGCTAACAAAGCTACTTTGTTAGCAAATATAGAATTGTAGTAGTTTAGGTTAGAAATTGGACCTGTTAAAAATATCTTCACTCAGGTATTATTAAATTACCTGGTATCTGAGTAAGTTATTATTTGTTTTGGGTGGCTATATAATAGACAAGTATGAAAACTACTATTTTTATGTAAGTCAAAATATGAATATCCTACTACAAAGAGTTCAAAATGTTTCTGATTTGTTTTGAACATTGAATCAATAATAACCTCAGTGATATCTTCTCGTAGGTTTTGTAGATCTTGAAAGAATGGTGTAATGAATCCAAGTGAGTGCATGAAATCATTTTCTCTATATTGAACTACCTTATATCCTTTATTTATTAACTCCCACCATTCTAGAAAATTTTTTGCTAATTTTACTTGATTTGCAAAATTTGTGATATACCTATTAAAAGGTTCGCTGCCAAAATAATTGTCGCCGCATTCTTGAAAGTTTATGTGTCCAATAATATCTTTACAGAAACCTATGTTTTTTACTAAATATGTTTAAAATATAAATATTATATATTTACTATAT